ATAGACAATGATCCTGAGCCACTGAAACAAGGTCAGCAAGCAGGAGAAAGCAGGCAAGTGGCCATGGAGGACGCTGTAGATGAAAGGGTTCATGTCACTACCCAAGGAGGAGGAGATATGTGGGGCTGATGATAGTAGGAGGCTCCTTACTGACAGGAATGGAAGTACCCTGTTTCCACGAACCTAACCTGAAAATAAGCCCTAGTATGATTTTTCTGGATGCTCATAATATAAGCCCTACCCCAAAAATAAACCCAGTTAAGTGAAACCCCACCCTCTGCCATTGTGCAGCAATCAGAAGAAGATGACATGACTGGCCCTGTCTTATTTTTGGGGAAACATGATAGCAGTTTGCAAACCTGACGAGATGTCTCAGGAGGTGTGCTGCCTCCCTGGATCAAAGAGCCAAGATGTGACAGCTTGCCAAGAATCGTCAAGCCCATTGACCATCATCCCTTCCTTCGCATCCACATAAGAGCAAATTATACTGCCATACATCCTTTCAACATATTGCAACCCATTTCTGTTTTCACCACCTGAAATTATTCTGTGCCATCAATAAACCTGACTATGTCTCAACCCTAACTTCAGATCATTCAGAACCAAGTTAAAATGCTCCAGTCCCAATACAAATTCTCAAGATAGTAACAGTATGATATTTGCTATTTTAAGCCCTTTCTTAATACTGAACCAACACCTTTCACTCCTGTAGTCTTTTCAACTGAAAGCTGTTTTGATTCCAAGAACTTGTTCCTGGGTAATCAACAAATACATGGTCAGGTTTTTGTCCCACTTTGCCTTGCAAATATACCAGCTCTCTATAATTTGAACATCTCTTTGAGTCTTTTCACAGTATGGTTGCATTGTTATCTTTCTGGTGTCATCTGCCAACTTTACTACTTTACTTTTCTTAACTCAACCCCAATTCTTCATGAATACATTCCAGACCTTGGTGTAGACATTTTTTTAAGAAGCTTTCACGTTTAGCACTAAAAATAGGAAATGTTGAGGCATTCGTTATAGAAATACTTTTTTTAAATTAAAGTTTATCACTATAACTTGGAGAACTAAAACTTGCATAAGAGTTTCTAAAGAAGCGGTTGCAAGAACCTGAGTTTATGCGCAATTACAAAACAAAAAACCAGACTTCCTCATGCTCTGTTCTGGAGGCATCAGTGAAGTAGCACTAAAGCCTTTCATTGCCTCTTGTAGTGCTCTAGAATTTTTGCTACCGAGTTGGATTATTCTGTCAATAAAGAACTAACTGTGGTTGGCTAGTATCTTGTTCAGTATGTACATGGGTAGAACTCCAACTGCAGAAGCTGCCACAGTGATTTATTTGGCAAGGTGTTAATCATGTGCTTGGTTATATGCAGCTGGCATTTTATGAAATCACTATGGCAGCTTCTGCACACACATAAATACTGAACAGTACACTGGCAAGCGCTGTCTTTCCATCAGTGGGGAATAGCAGAAGTTCCAGATGTTGTTAATTCTATTGACTTCTGTTTGGGGTTGGCATCTCTGTATGTTTCAGTGCTTCTTCCATGGATAGAGAAAAAGAAAACATGAAGGCAACTAATATTCTCCTCCTTTTTCCAGTTCAGATGGTTCTTCCTAGATGTTAAGACTCAATGAGTGATAGTAGTTAGTAGCTGTACTTCTTTTCTGAATGTATCAAGAATACCAAAGCAACAAATGTTTTGGTTCACATCACAGTTGGCTTCAAAGCATTTGACTAGCAGCAAAACCCCATCTGTTTCCCCAAGGCTCTTCATAGGACCACACAGTCTTTCATTTCAGTTACATTCTTCTAGGGACTGTTTCATTAAAAAAGTATACTGATTTAAAATTCTCCAAGGGTAAGTTCACCAAAATGTTCCTTCTCATCAGGTGATGATACACACACACTGATAAGGGTGTGCATACTGCTAACTTAGAAGTATATGTTTCAGGCACCGTTGGTGTGCATAAGCAACCTTCTACAGTAACTATATGATGCTTCCACTGCACAACACTACCTACACATTCTTCATAGTACTGTATATACTATAAATAACCTATTCATAGACTTATAAGGGCACATAATTGACTCTCAAAGCTTATTTTTGTCTATAATCTCAGTCTCATTACAGAGGTTCTTGTCCAATGTGCATGTAATGAATGAATCATATATTTCTTACTGGTCAACTTGCAAATGTATTTATTTCTCATACTTACTCTTCATCTCTTTCAAGGACTGGGGGTGATCTACATATAGTTATGTGGCAGTGTCACATCCAGGCAGCTTATACAGGCAAAATGGTTCTGACATGGAGATCTATCAATTGATTGCAGATCACTCTCGAAACCAATCATAATGTCTCTGTATTTCACAATGTAGCGAGGCTTGCAAAATTCTTTTTGAATCTGCCATTTGCCATTGCACTTCCCTTTCCCCAGAGAGCAACTAATACCTGCTTTTTCACCACATCAATGTTTTATGTGGCAATGCATATCTAACACTTTCCACGATATGCTTCAGTGTGTTACATACTGTATACATGATTGGCAGGATGAACAGAATCACTTTTTTGCCATAGTGTGTTTTCACTTTTCAAATAGAGTGGTCCTCACCGACCAGATAGGTGGGGTATAAATTAAATAAATAAATAAATAAATAAATACTTCTGACTTTTTGTTCCTGTGCCTGTTCTCCATGGCATTGTAAAGGATATTATACTAAACAACTGTGTAACTTGTGGAGGACTTTCCTGCTGAGTCAGAAGCAGTGTCTGTCATTGCTGAACAAATCAATCTTGCTAGTTGCAGCCAGCTGGTTAGGACGCTGACATGAACAAGGTCAAACATACCCTGAAATAACTAATTCGTGTTTTAGCAAAACATTTCACATACAGTGTCAAAAAAACTTGATCTGCATGCTTGTGTATACTGAGGATTAGACTATTTTCTCTTTATTATTTATATGTCATAATTATACCTGAAACATATATTAGCTGAACAGTTTGTATAAAAATTGCTCACAGACAAGACTTTCTGATAGCAATAGGATGTGTCAGTAAAGTCATTACATAAACACATAAAATGATTATATATGGGCTCAAACATCCACGACATAATCCACAGAAGTTTTGTCCATCTCTCCTTCAGTTAGGGTTATAGGTTACAAGACGGTTTGTGAAGCATTCCATATTTTAGTATGTATGCATCTAAATTATACCCACTGACTTCTAAACAAGTTGTTAGATTCAGAAAGCTGGCAATAAATTGGTTAATATCTCAAGTAGATAAACAAGTTCATTCTTAAAATACCTGTACAATGCAAAATGTGGATAGCACTGGAAATAGGATAAAGACTGAGAATATCTGTGCCCCAGTCAGTTGTGTATAGTTTCATACTACTGATAAGAACAGACCTGGGCAAAATGTGGCCCGAGGGCCACATACAACCCGCGAGCTGCTCCTGTCTGGCCCGCGGACTGTTTTGAACTTTAAAACCATTTATAGCTTTTTGTCTAAAGTTGATCAGTTGCTTATCTTTAACATACCGCAAAACGCCTCTTTAGTATTTGTGAAGATTAGCAAGTTTAAAATAAAAACAATCATAACATCACTGTTTCATTTTATTTTTAAGTAAAGATGATTCGGCCCCCGAACACAGTTCAGATTTTTCATGTGACCCCCTTATAGAAATTAATTGCCCACCCCTGGATAAGAAGGAGATTAATCACTACTTTCAGCCCTCATAAAGGGTTGGAAGGAGTGTAGACATTTGGGTACTGGAGTACTACTGGTTACTTTAAAAATTACCTACTTTTTGGTGACAAAGACAGGAAGTAAGTTTCTATTCATTCATCTGTGTTATGCTGCTCCAGTCACCATTTTCCACATAAATCTGCCTCTTCCGAGATTCCTTTCCATGTAAACCTCTATCCCATTACACAGTCAATAATTCTTTATCCCACCACCATAAATATTTTTCTTAAACTCAACCCTGCTTTATTTCCATTTTTTCTCTCAGAGCTAAATAATTAGCAAATTACATTTATATGTAATTTACTAATTACATATAAAGATTATTTTCCTTTTTCACACAACAGTCTCCAATCTAGACTGGCCTCATCACTGGGTGGGGTGGGGGAGTCTAAAATCCCCCCAAACAGCCAGCTTTTGTTTTCAGATATGATCCCCTGGAAACAGGAGCTAAAATGAGAAGCAAAAACTTCCACTTGCACAATTTGTTTAGCAGCTGCAGGGATGTGGGAAATTCTTAGAGATGAAAAAATGGTGAGAAGGTTTAAATCTTCTCACTCATGCACAGTGGTCCCAATCTGAACTGAAGCCATGCATGCCTATGTTTGTGTGTTTAAAAAAAGAAGACATCTTTAACTGTAAACTAAATACAGTATTTAACAATGTATTCTCGAAGGCTTTCACAGCCAGGATCTGATGGTTGTTGTGGGTTTTCGGGGCTGTTTGGACATGTTCTTAAGGTTTTTCTTCCTAACATTTCACCAGTCTCTATGACCGGCATCTTCAGAGAACAGGAGTCAGAACTCTGTCTGTGCTCGCCGGCCACAAGACTGGCGAAACGTTACGAAGAAATACCTTAAGAACACAGACAAACAGCCCGGAAAACCCACAACAACCATTTAACAACGTGTTTAGTCTCACTTTCACCTGAAGAGAGTGAAAATTGACAGAAAGAGATCCTCCTTTAGGATTTGCACTGAGCCAGCCTATAATATGCATAAAAGCATGAATCTTGGCAACATTCATTAAACTGATTATCCCATTGGCCTATTCAGGTTCCCATCTCAGGGACTCTTAGGCAATGTATGCCTCTTAAATGTTTCCCCTCCCAAAAAAAAGCCCATGCACTTCTGCTTATCAGTACCATTTGCAACAAACATAATCACTTCCTTCTTGTTGTTCTATAAAGATTATCATTCAGGCCGACACGACAGGCAGAATGCTCATAAGGTTTAGAAACTGCTTACCATCTCTGAAGGACTGCATGGGCTCATCTCCCCATGAAGAAGGGAAGGGGGAGAAAGGAGATTGTGAAATGCTGCACTCAGAGATGGTGGTTGTGTTTTTGCAGGGTCCAAAGCCAAGCATCTCTCTCTCTCGATCTGGAGATGAAGGATCTGTCCCTAGTGCAGACTGAAGCACAGGGTATTCTGAAGAATTGGCCAGAAGCTCCTTCAAAATGTTAATTGGTGAAATGGTAAGCTCCCAGTTGGTGATACCAAAATCCCTCAAGTGGGCCCTGGCATGACTGGACAGGCCTGCACGCGTGTCAAAGCCAGCCCCACAGAATTCACATCTCATTAAACTGAAAGTACTTGGATCAAAATTTGCAACTGTGAAAGAGAAAATGATAGTGTTACAAGAAATCATAAAGACCAGACAACAAATAAGTCTAGAAACCCCTCTCCCTTTACATAATTATACATTACATCAGTGGATCCCGACCTTGGGTAACCCAGGTGACTCCGAGAAGTCTTCACCACTAGTTTCTGAGAGTTGCAGTCCAAGAATACCTGGGTTACCTAAGGTTGGGAACTATTGCATTACACAGTAATATGACAAGTGGACATTATTAGAATCTTGTAACATTTGAGGGAGTAGGTAGAGAAACATACATACCCATCTTCAAGGGAATGAAAAATATTAGAAAAAAATGAAAAAAATTATAAATTGAATACATACTACCTTTTTTCTTCTTCTTTTGGAAGGAAAATTTTTGCTCAATAGCTTTCACTTCTTCTGCAGAGATGAAGTGACGGACATTGTAGCTCACACCCACCCTGTTCAGGTGGCCCCGCACGTGATTGGCTAGGCCAATTCCATTGTGGAACCTGTCAGGACAGTATGGGCATTTCCTCTCCTCATTCTTCAGCATTGACGAATCTGCATTCAGAAGATCATCCAGTTCAAATGATCCTTCTAGAGAGGAATCTAATAGGAAGACACTTAGGGGAAGGGACTCATCCATTCCAAACTCTCGGGAAGAAGGCGACATCTTTTTCTTTAACATGTTCATCTTGGGCCGTTTCACTTTTCTGGGATAAAGATTCAGCTCTTCCACAAGAACGATAGGAACCATCTGACGTAACTGATGCTGCTGTCCGGCGGACGCTACTGAATAATCAGTTGCCTTCAAAGTGCCTCTGAAGGTCCTCTTGAGGTCCAAGGCAGGTTGAGGAATCACAAAGGGCTGGAAGTATCTATTTTCTGTTAACTCTATTTCTGTTGCTAAAGGGAATTCTTCTTCCATACTCATGTTATCACTTATGGGTAACCATTTGTGGCAGACTTCTTCCAGCCCACCTGAGTGGCTTTTGGCATTCTCTCTCTCAGTCTCAAATGGCAGTGCTGTGCTTTTATTCCTAATTTGTGTCAGAACATGGGGAGAATAAGGTTTTGCTGAGGTAAAAGTGGACAAAATCTTATCTGAGGAGCTGTAAGGAGCTCGTTTCCTAGCCCGGAAACCAGGCATTGGGATTTCTTTTTTGTTAGTGCTATCACTTTTATTAAGTCTCTGTTGGCCCCCTGTAAAGCCAGGGAGAGGGTTATAATGGGAAGAATTCTCACAGTGAGATTGGGGAAAAGGTCTATTGGCTTTGTTCAAATAATCACTTTCTGAAAATCTGCGTGATCTGTTAGGGCTGTAGGCATCCCTGCTAGTTCCAGGCTGGTTCATGTCTCCTTCAAAAGTCTCTGTGTTCCAGGACAAGTGGGAATGCACATATTTCATGTGTTCTTTTAAAATATTTTCATTTGGGGCAGGAAAGTTGCAAAGCATGCAAGTGCTCTGACTTTTGCTGCTGCTACACGCATTTGCCATGTGAGGTACATCCTCATGAGCCCTGAAGTGTCTGTATACATTGTGCATAGAGCCATCCCGTGGTTCATTACCACCAGAACTGCCAAACAAGTTCACATTCTTCAGGCCTTGATCTTTCCTCTCCCTGACATGCATTTTTGCATGCTGGACAAACACCTTAGAGGAGTTAGTTCCGAATACACATTTTGGGCACTGCAGCCTGGCGTCACGGCCTTCATCTGGGAACTCATTGAGTTTCTGGATTTCCTCAATGATTTTTTCTCTTGACTCTTGGTGGAGTCTTCTGTGCTGATCTAAAGAACCAGTGTCCCCAAATGCCCATCCACATTCATTACAGGTTAGTTGACACTGATCTCCTGTTCCTTCTCTGCCTTGATCCAGCCCTAGTCCCCTGTTATGCTGAAGCATGTGATCCATCAAATGTTCCTTCATCTTAAAATAAATGCTACACTCAATGCATGTGTATACAGTTGGCCCCTCTTCCTGACCTACATCATCTTTTCCCTGCTCCTCTAGCACAGCATTGCATGTATATGGCCTTGTCTCATCACAGGTGCTGCAGGAAAGAGATTCTGCAGACCTCAGAGGAACACACTCCATAGTATCTCTGCCACTATTGATCCAAGCATGTTTACGGACAGCCAGGTCTATAGCTGTCTGAACCCCTGATTTTTGTAATGCCCACTTAGTTGTGTTAACAGAACTTACTTCATCTAAATCAGAGTCCAAAGCCCTTCCCTTCCTGAAAAAGAGTGCACTCTCAACAGTCTTTGCTTTACTTGAATGAGGATTTAAGGTTTTTCTAAATACCGGGAGAGCCAACAGAGCAGTTTCTCGTGTAGACTGTCCCCTCACAGACAGATTTGCTGCTACATCTGCTGGCTTATTTATGCTTCTGTGAGGAGGCCAAAGTCCTTCATTGTGCTCAGAAAGCCAATCATACCTCTGAAAGCCCTTCTTATCCAACTCCTGCCCTCCTTCTAAGTGCTCTTTACTGAAGGCTTTTAGCTGCTTTGGTTCATTGCTATGGTATCTTTCATCTCCACTAATATTTTGTGCTCCAGCAAGTGGTGGAGAAGCTTCTGCTGTCGCCTTGCCAATGTCTAAGTGCTCAGTCTCCCCTTCTAGCTCACCAGTATTCATTTGCACAGTTCTTGTAATATTAGATTCCATTGCAGAAGTGGTCTCCTTTGGGTAAGAAGGATTTTGCGGTGCTACTTCCTGAGAGCTTACTGAATCCTTCAGACCAGGGAGTCTTTCTAAAGTGCTTTCTTCTTTAGAGACACTGCCCATTGTCTCCTGGTTATAGCAGTCCCACAAAACAGTCGTGCTTTTTTCATCTGTTGATCCCCGCAAATCTGCTTTATAAGAGCCTTTCCTGAATTTTAAACAGTCTTCAGTCTTGCTGCTGAAAAGAACAATCAACATTAGCTAAAGGCTATGTATTGAATAAGATACACACATGTAGAATCTTGAATCATGAAAACATTGTTCAGAGTCACAGATAGGATCATGCATTTTCTTTACCTCTCCCTTCACAGATAAATGGAAAACATATGTGGTTCCACATTTCATATATGTTCACACCTTCCTGCACAGTTCCCTCAGCATCACTATTAAAAATATTCCTATAAGAAGTGTTCCTCCCGACTACAGGAGAAACCTCCTCTACTGGCTCAGTCCACTGGAAACAACCGCCTTTTGGCTTAACCTTTCCCAGAATGGTTCTCTCAGTGCCCCTTACATTTTCTCGTAATCTTTGTGGCATGTTTTCCTATCACAGCTTGCTTTTTCTCTTCCTTATTCACACCTGCTTCTTTTTTGTTGTATTGTTTAAATTGTAAGCCAAAGAGCCCTGTGTGTGTCTCTTTTAATATTTTATATAGCTCCAATAAAACATGGACATTCCGAAGATAATAAACAATGACTTAAACTAGTAAGCAGGGACCATTTCTATCTGGATAGTGCTTCTTCACTCTTATATTTCAATTGCTCCTTCTTGGAACCTATGCTGCACAGCTTAGCTGGAGCAGGCTGGTGCAGGCTAAACAGAGTCGCTGTTTAGGGCAATGTATTAGGGCAGTGCATATGTACTGCATCAATTTAAGAAAAATAAATTATAAATTGAAAATTTCCTCTTGGAAGTAAGAGGAGACAGCAGGAGACAATGAGGAGGATTTTGTTTGCTTTTCTTTTAATGGTCCATTAGAGAGCCTGCTCACAGCCAAATCAGGCATGCTCTCAATCAGACCTTGAAGAGTAGAAAAAATTCCCCTCTATGTCCCCTCCTCCTTCTGGGAGCAAACAGCAAGCTAAATACTCATGTAGCTACCCTCTAATTCGGCTTTTGTCCCATTACTCTACAGTGATCTCCTTATTTGGGACCAAGCAACTTCCAGTAGTAACAAGAGTCTTGATATTGCTAAGAAATCATCCAAGACAAGACAAGAATTGCCAACAGCACATTCATTTGGGCTATTTGTTCTCCAGAATAAAAGAGTTGACCTCCCCAGCACAAACTATAAACATGGCTGCACTTCTGTTATGCAAGTTTATAATATCGCTATTCCTCAGTCAATATCAGCTCAGACAGAAGTGAGAAAGGATCCTAAATAGTTGAAAGATCTACATTTCTTCTACCAAGAATATATGACAATGAGGGCTGCATACATTTGATAAATAGTTGAAAATTATAATAATTATGTGCTGCCAAATTAATTCTGGTTTAAGGCAACCCACAACAGGGTATCCTTTGTATGAAGTAATCAGAAGTGGTCCTTTAGCACTATACCACTTACCCAGGGCTATACAGGCTGGCTCTTCTCCTATGAGGCACAGAGGGGAATTTAATTCCTAAATCCCACCTCCCCTGAGCTATCTAGCTAATGGTTAGGATGCTATGTTATTTAGAAACCTGAGTTTGAGACTGAACTTGCACCAGAATTCTATCGGTCAATGGGAGATAAACTGTTAACACTGAGATATTTAGGACCACAACTCCCATAAGTCCAATACTGCATGATCAATGGTCAAGAATTATAGGAACTATAATCTACAACATCTGGAATACATTGGGTTGTCTATCTCTACTACTGTATATAGCTTTCCTTAGCAGCTAGTCTTACAGCTAATGTCTCCACATAAATGTGCCTAGAGTCAGTGATCCAATAGCAGGGATATATTCAGTCAATTGATCCAGTGACCTGAAGAGCAAACATAACTGACTTGCTTGTGACCCACTTCAAAGAAAATCTAGGGAAAATTTCCGGGAAGGATTACATGGATGAGGGTGCACATTATATCCAATGGTATTATACTAAGCTTGATGTTCCAGTACAAATGAAAGACATTGGGAACTGGCCATAAGGATTAAAAAATGTCAAACTCTGTAATTCTTCACCCAGAAATTTCAGCACTTACTAAATTTTCTTCCTCCGACCTGTGATGGAGACACGAGGAGAATGATGAGGCTCATCTACAAGAGAAAAACATTAACATCACATCCCTGACTAAGTGGAATATGGCAGTTCCTAGTGTAATTTACAATCCTATAATTTAAAAAACTACAAAGCTTTCAAAGCAGATAAACCTACCCAGCCTATGTGACTCCCTGGGGGCATTTCTGGATTAGCATGGGATTTCTAACCCATACCATTAATCCTAAAAACCAGCAATTTGATACATAATCAATCCTGCAGTTAAGCAGTTTAAAATAAAATAAAAATATCGACTTGAAATGCAGCATGCCCAAGAATTTTTCCAATGAGAAGTCAAATTACTTGATCATGCTAAGCTTTGCTAGAGCCAGTCTATAAAAATATAAACTTATTTCCATTGAAAAATGTGAGACAGCTCCTCTACAACATTCAAAAAGTCCAAAATGTTGCAGCCAGATTGTTAACGTGGGCTGGTTACAAGGAACACATAACACCCCTGCTATAGCAGCTCCATTGGCCGCTGATCTATTTCCAGGCACATCTCAGTGCTGGTTTTGACCTATAAAGTTCTAAATGGCTTGGGTTTAAGCTATCTCAAAGACTGTATCTCCTTCGATGAGTCTGCCTGATCATCAGGGGAGGTTTTTCTCTTGGTCCCAGCATCCTCACAGATATACTTGGTGGGGACACGGGAGAGGGCCTTCTCTGCTGCTGCTCCCAGACTCTGGAATCCCTCGCATGAGGCCAGGCTGGTTCCATCATAGCTGTCCTTCCACAAGCAGACAAATGAAATTGTCTCCACGCAAGCTTTCCCTGAGTGACAGACTGTCTGGGAGAGATTTTAAAATCAGATAGTTCGCATTTTGTTGCTTCTAGTATTTTACCTATAATTCTTAATATAATATTATTAATGTGTTCAATATTTGAATAATTTATTGTTTTTAGCTTTAATATTGTGTTTTAATGATGTAAGCTGCCTTGGGTACATATTTTAGGAGAAAGGAAGAGTAAAAAATATTTTAAATAGATATATTAAATAAACATAAAAAATTATGACCAAGCCTGTAGCAATTTGCTTTGTTTATGGCTCTCAGAGAAAGAGGTACCGTATCTTGTGACTACAGTTTTAGAAGTCTGCACAATATTATAAAAGGTAACTACACAAGCATTGTTGCTTCTTCCTTGCATACAGAGAGCGGTGTAGCTAAAATTATATTCACATTTCAGAGCATTTAGAGAGACTAAATTTTACATAGTCTACTGTTAAAAAATGAGAAGGGAGGAATTATTTTTTAAAGTCTCCAATTTACATCTTGAGAACTAAAATACAATTCTGTTCTTTAAATTGATTTTTCATGTTTCAGGAATGGAGAAACACAACCTCCATGATCCAACTTTTTGGATTGACTCAAAATCGGGTACAGATTCAAACTGAACCAAAACCACAACCAGATTTTCACAAGTATCTCACTAAACCCTTTGTCCTTCTTTCTGATTCATATTTAACCAGCTGCAGTAGGGTTTACACCACTCCCTCTAACCCTAATCCTTGCAAATGTTTTTCTTCAAATTATCTGATAAAGTATCTTGGAGGCAAAATTATGTATAAAAACTTAGAATCTGCTTAGATTTTGTTTAGCATTCTGGACACTACTGCAATATGGGGGGGGCAATGTGTAGCCCGTATAATTAAATTGTAAACCGCCCGGAGAGTGCTTGTAGCGCTATGGGGCGGTATATATATATTTTATTCTGGAGTAAACCCAGGGAATCTGTCTTTCCACGATGAAAACATAAGGAATGGAAGGCAGGAAGACCGAATTAGAGTACACATAGCATTGCTTACAATAGATGTCACAGGAAAGATGTGCTAAAGCACAAATCATGCTCGAGTCTTGACTTGCTAAGCCTTCAATTAAAGCCTGAATATGCCCACAACCTGACATTCCCAGGTTCTGCATGAAATGTCTTCTGTTATTTTGGGACAACTGGACAGCTACCAACATCAATCCAACTCTCTTATTACATCCCCCACTTTTTAATTTAGGATTTATGTACATGTATAGAGACTGCTTCTGTGCTGAAATTCACCATCATGTGGCTGCACTTCACAAAATTCCAAGCAAGATGGAATTGGCCTGTCCTCTGGAAACAAAAGGCTTTAGACTGCCAGAACCTGTCTGCTTGTAAAAAGGATTGAGGAGCAACACTTAAGAAGCTGTCTGTAACGACACCGAAGTCTTGTGTCATCACGTAAAGATCAACTTGGCATGTGTATTTCAAACTTCATCAATGGATGCTTCATTTGCTCTCACCATATTTTCAAAAACATAGTGATCTCATTATCAAATCGAAAAGACAGAGATCACAGAATCATAGAATGATGAAGCTGGAAGTGGCCTATAAATTCATCGAGTCCAGCCCCCTGCTCAATGCAGGAATACAAATCAAAGAATATCTGCCAGGTGGTTGTCTAAGTTTCACTTGAATGTCTCCAGCATTGAAGCATTCACCACCTGTCAAGGTGACTAGCTTCACTGCTGTACTGCTCTAACAGTTAAGATGTTTTTCCTGAGATTCAACCAAAATGTGTCTTCTTGTAACTTGAGCCCATTGCTGCATGTCCTGCACTCTGGGATGATTGAGAACAGATCCTGCCCCCTCCTCTGTATGACAGCCTTTCAAGCACTTGAAAAGTGAGATCATATTTTCCCTTCTTTTCTCAAGGCAAAATAGGCCCAGTTCTTTCAGCCTCTCTTCATAGGAATTGATTTCCAGCCATCTGATCATCCTTTTTGCCTTCCTCTGAACTTGCTGCTATTTGTCAGCATCTTTCTTGAAGTGTGGTGTCTAGAACTGGACATAGTACTCAAGATAAGGCCTAACCAGTGACAAATAGAGGGAAACTAGTACCTTGTGGGATTTGGAGACTACGCTTCTGTTAATGCAGCCTAAAATAGCCCATTTTGTAGCAATCTCACACTGTTGGCTCACATTCAGCTTGTGATATATGACAATTCCAAGATCCTTCTCACCTGTAGTACAGTATTGCTGAGCCAGGTATTCCCCATCTTGTAACTGTGTGTTTGGTTTCTTTTTCCTAGGTGCAGTACTTTGCATTCCCTGTTGAATTTCATTCTGTTGTTTTCAGCCCAGTGCTCAAGCCTATCTAGATCATTTTGCATTTTGTTTCTGTCTTCCAAGGTGTTAGCTACTCCACCCAATTATGTGTCATCCACATACAGTATTTGATTAGCATGCTCTGCATCCCCTGATCCAGGTCATTAATCAAAATGCTGAAGATCACAGGGCCCAGGACAGAGCCCTGGGGTACCCCATTTGTTACCTCCTCCCAGTATGAGAAGGGGCCATTAAACATTACCCTCTGAGTATAATTTTGTAGCTAACTGTGTATCTGGCCCAACAATTGTTCTATCCAGCCCACACCTAGTTAGCTTGCAAATCAAAATATCATGGGCCACTTTGTCAAAAGCTTTGCTGAAATCAATACTGTATATACTTTGCCTACAGCATTCTCTTTATCAGGAAGGTTACCTGATCAAAAAATGAGATCAGATTAGTCTGGCAGGATTTATTTTTGACAAATCCATGTTGGCTTCTAGTTATAAGTGCTTTATTTTCTAGGTGCTTTCATAGTGACCCCTTTAAGTAGCACGCTTTTTAAAAAATCTGTTCCAGAATTTTCCCTGGGATTGGTGTGAGGCTGACTCGTCTATAGTTCCCACATTCCTTCTTTCTGAAGACAGGGACAACAATAGCCCTCCTCCAGTCAGCTGGCACCTAACCCATTTCCCATGATTTTTAGAAAATAATGGCGAGTGGTTCTGAAAGTTCTTCAGCCAGTTCCTTCAGTACTTTTGGACTCAGTTAATCCATTCCTGGAGATCTGAACTTGTTCAAGGTAATAAGGTATTCCTTGACTATTTATCAATCTCCAGCTGCAATCCTGTTCCCTCCACTTGCACTTCACATTTGCCTGACAGGTCATAGTCTGTCTTTTGGGAAAAGGCTGAGCTAAAATAGGAACTGAGCACTTCTGCCTTTTCTTTGTTGTCTGTTACCATTTTTCCATCTTCACTGAGTAGCTGAGCCACTGTTTGCTTTGTTTTGTTTTGTTTGTCTTTTGCAGTGCACATAGCTGAAGAATGCTTTTTTGTTGCTTTTAGGTCTCAGCTTTTGCCCTTCTAATGCCCTCCCTGCTGTGGCCTTGCCTTCTTTCTACTTCCTACACATGCCCTTTCTTGGTCCTCCCTGAGCTTTTTGTGAAACCACACTGGCCTTTTTTGCTATCTTCCACCTTTTCTTTTTCCTTGTTGGAACTGTTTGTAGTTATGTCCTTAGAATTTCTTTTTCCAACACTTCTTGGACTCCTAAACTTGTTAGGTTCTTTTGCCGTGGGACCGACCTTACCTATCCTTGTCCTAAGTTTATTAAAATTGGCTTTTTAAAAAATCCAGCGTATATGTGTGGCTACACTCCTTTGAAATCAAGAATTCTAGTAGAACATGGTCACCCTTGCTCAGAGTTTCCCTTACTGCCACTTCCTCCACTATATTGGAAAGAGCACAGAACCTGTTTTATAACCAGTCCTGACTCACTATAGAAATGGCTCCTGCATAATAAAAGAAGAGAGAATAAAACCTGGAAGTGCACTGTACACTAAAGGCAGTGTAGTGTTATGTCATGGTTAGAGTGTCAGAATAAAATAGTGCAAAATGCAGCGGCCAGTCTCCTTAGTGGGATGAGAAAGTACCAGCATATCTCTCCCACTCTGGCTGCCTTGCATTGGCTACCCATTCGCTTCCGCATTAACTTCAAAGCATATCTCTCCCACTATAAAGCCCTAAACAGTTTGGGACCTCAATACCTGGCAGATCGCCTTCTCCCACCTCGATCTACCCAAATCACTCGCCATAGCCAGGAGGGACGGTGTGAGGATTCGGTTATGGGGGCTTCCCGCCCGCCCCAAGCAGGAGTCGAGGCACCTTTTTCTAACAACAATTTGTCTTTATTCAAC